AACCATGACATTCCAACAAGCTCTAAAAGTAGGCCTTTCTCCTTCGTCTTTCCAGCCCGCCTTTGTGCGTCTGTCCAATTCTTCATACGAAGCTTTGCGCTCAGGTGGCCGTCGTTTATTTGCGTTGATGTCTATGTCACAATATTTCACCATGGAAAATAATTTTGTCTCTTCTTTTTTAAAAGCTTTCAAACGAACTTTCTAATTTGGGACAAAAGTAATTTCAAAAGTAATGAGTATTTTTCTCGAAATTACGGCCTGAAAGTAATATATTACATTACTAAATTACCAGCCTAGAGAAGCAATCCATTTCATTACTCATTACCAGAAAAAAGTAATTTAATTACTGTAATTTCATTACAGTAATCTCATTACTGCCATCTCTGGCCTGCGGAGAGTCTCTCTGCCGCTTGTCGAAGGCGTCGCGACGTCAATGTCGGCATCTCCGAGAGCTTAGTGGCATGCAAGGGTCACCTGCCCCGCCGATGACGACACTTTCCCTAGTTTTAGCCTCCGTTCTCGTGCTTTTTTCACTCTAAGAAATGCCTGCGCGTCTACTAACTCGTAAAAAACTCGAAGAGCCGATCTCTGCGGTCAACCAAATCAGCTCAGCGAATGATGAGGCGGACACTCTTTAGACATAAAAATTAAGTCTGCGCTGTAGCATTAGGCAATGCAAGCATGACGCTTTGCATTGCGTAATGCCACATCGCAGACTTATTTTTGAGGTCTAAATGGATGTTCCGCCTCATCATTCGCTAAGCTGATTTCGTAGATCGCAGAGATTGGCTCTTTGAGTGTTTTGCGGGTAAGTAGACGCGCAGGCATTTCTTAGAGTGCTGCACTCGGCGCGCAGCGGCGGGCGGAGCTACGACGAGATTTTAATTATCGATTACAACGTTCATCCTAATAAAATCGAATACAACATTGGGACAGTTAATTTTTAAGGCGCCTGCATTCAAACTTTCATAGTTTTTACATATACAAAAACCTCTTCAGCTTCCCTTTAAAAATCGAAAACAGCTTAGTTGAAAAGCCAAAACAGATTAGTTAATACTCGTATAAGCAAGAAACACACTATCTACGCAAGCTTTTGAATCATCGCCAACTCTGCGAATGCCTGTTTTCTGATAGCAGTATGTTTGATGAGGTGCTACCTGGCACTGGATCGGTATTGGGTAACAGTTGAATATGCAGTCCTTATTACTCTAGTACCAGCTGCTGTGGGCAGGGAACAAACAGATCACTGCACTCGCAATAGTATAAGCACCTGATCTTGTAGGAACGTACTACGGATAGTCTAGTCACTCGGTGATTCAAATGTGAGGGATTGGGGTCACTACGTAGATCCGCGGTGACGCGGATCTGCGTAGTGACGATGAGCACACATTGTGATAATAGCTAGAGTTGCCGCGGATCCGACCCCGTCGTGGGTTTTCCTCACCATTTTTGCTAGTCTGGCATTATTCATTATTTATCTTCCCAAACTAGAAGCAATTGATATAAAGTCACTATAAGTTGAGTCATCATTAGAAAATAGATTTTGCTCGAAAGTAACTTGGTCCAACGAAACCTCGGTACATAGTAAATCGGATAAGTTCGTTATGTTGCCGGGGACACTTGGAAGAACAATTTTCAAGGCGTGATGTTTGTATTTTTATAGAAGTGCTCAAGAAGCAAGAGTCTATTGGTGTCATCACTATTTTTTTTAAGTTGATGATTAAGAGCCCATCTTTAAAGATAGCCTAAAGATAACGCCTCCCATATGGCTATGATCGTAACCGGATGATTTGTACAGAAGAGAAGTTCATGAACCAAGCCAGCTGAGAATTTATGCGAGGATTGTAAATATTTCGACACGTCAGGACGACATAGACATTTCCTTGTCATCAACAGAGGTCTGGCAGTCAATGATTGTGCTGCGATTTCGACGTAATAGGTCATAGGATTTTTTATTGTGATTACAAAATATTTTTTTATTTACGATGCTTGACTCCAGGCTGCAAAATCTCGTGAATTGTTTGGATTGAGAATGCAATAGGTCATAAACCTGCCGCTACTTGTAAAATAGCGTATACATACGGTATAAGACTTCATAAAACTCGTAAAAAGAGGACAGGCGTTGTTTGTCCTATATTTTGGGTTTATGGCATTTATTGATGTATTCTACCAAAAGCCAAGTTCCCTGAGTGGATGATGCGAGGTAAAGAAAACAACAGGTGTGGAGTTGTTATTACATTTATTTAATGCCAACGCAATCTCCACTCGTGGAACGCGTTCGAATGCGAAAGCCAAACGCCGGCGTTCCGCGTTCTCAAGCGTTCGACGAGTGCAGTGGAGACAGAGGCCGCTAGCTTTAGCTCTACCCACTATTCCTTCCAACCTGATGATGATGATGATGCGCCGACGCTACGAGATAAGGGGACCCATTCAGGCTTGTCCCTATGTTGAATACTCTTCTCAAGAGCATATCATCGGCTAACAGCTATCAATTTTACGCTGTTTGTCGCACAATACCTAAAATTGCCTGTCGAAACGTCGTGAGAAGCATTGAAATGACACACATAATCCCCCCCCCCCCCCCCCCAAACTGTGGCAACGTTTCTTAACAAAATCACAGCAAACCCGTCACAAAGTAGGCGGGTTGGCTTACCTATAGAGAAGTTCTTTTTGAAGAGAAATTTCAAAGTAGATCAGAATGAATAAGTTGGCCGATATATGTGCCACCGTTTGCCTGATTTTTGATAGGTTTTGCTCTTTTTGGAAGCAACTTTTGTCCACTTTTAATCTCACTTAAAATTGACCTCTATCGTGATCCGTCAGTTCTTTGTAAATGAAACGATGTCTCGAATTTAACACCGTGATTGATTGAACAAGCGAGTCATTCCGGGCAAAACCCTGCTGCGCGATATCCCTTTCAACGAAGATGCCCGAGTTCTTGATGATTCAAAGTACTCACTTTAAAGTCTGAACCCCAGACTGAAACTCGAGCTTCCGCAGCATTTCGATTCGTATACAGACGTGCCTTCTGCGTTCTTTCTTTTACAAGTATTTTTTAAGCTACAATGGCACACGCAAGACCCTGGTAAATATGTTTCCAGAGTGTACTCCATGTAGGCTCCAGAAGAACCGGTCGACGTATTCGTTTTGAAGACGGGGATACCCATATCCAACTGCAACGTTTTGTTGCGCGCGGTATTGAATAGTGTGGCCCTTAAAGACTTGAGTCTGAGTGTCGTGCGCCGTCAGTCGAGTGACGAAAAGTATACGGAACATACTCGGAAACATGCCCATAGCACGATGCAGCGAAAGACGTGGACTGAGTTTATTCTTTAACCTCGATTCTGCTAACCTTCTCTATAGCGCCAAATGTTTTCACCGAGGCCTATTTTTCGGCAGATAATGAACACCGAAAAGTGCCGAACATAGAAAATAAAAGCCAAAAACTGGAGTTTATACTAAAGAAAGAAAGAAAAAAAGGATAGTAATAATAAAGAAGTCCCGAAACTTGGAAGGACATATAATTTAAAAAAAATAATAATAAGAAACACCTGCGAAATCTGTAACATGCCTCTCTTGCCTGTAACTCAGAGATGTCTTCATATTCCCTGTGCAGTAGGCCTGTCGTTGGCCTGGCATGGATACATATATGAGACTGACACATTTAAATCATGTTTATTTTTATATTTTTTGTTGATGTGCTGCACCTTGTTTACATCTGCATATATGGCAACAGAGGGGACCCATAATCATCAATCTATTGTTGTTTCAGAAATTTCTCTTAATTTTTCATTGTCATCAGAGCTTGTTTTCTTTTCCCTTCTATATGTTTCGTGTTGCCGTTCCTGTAACCGCATCCCACCGACCTCGTTTGTAATCTTGGAAACGACCGGGGTTATGTCAGAGTATCTCAAACTATTGAAACGACATGTCGCGAAACGAGAGGTAGGCGCAAACAGTACATAGCGACATAGAAAGCGACATCAAATGGAGTTTAAAATTGACATACTTGTGAACCCTAAAACATAAAAGATAAAAACAAACAAGAAAAAAAAAAAAAAAAACGGACAGAACAGTTGAGTCTGTTCTGTCCGTTTATTTATTTTAAATTTAATTTTTACATCTTTTTGTGTTAGGGTTTACAACCATGTCGCTTTCTAACCAGCTTGCCTGCACTTTGTTACGACAGGTTTTGCATAGACTCTCACTACCACTGAGGATGGCCTCGCGTGTATTTTTTTTTTTTTTTTTGGGGGGGGGGGGGGGGGGGGGTTAGTCGAAGGGCATGAAACGGATGTTTTGCATTATGCCCTGATGTTTTCTTCTGCCTATTCTCCTTCCTGAGAGAGGAAACACAGGTGTTCTTCGGGAGCCCGTAATATGAGCCCTGCGCGCAAACACTCCAAGCTCACGAGGCGCCGAAGTGTTCTCGGAGGTAGCAAGCTGGTGCTTGAGAGGGCAACGAAAACTGAATAATTCTTATCTTCTCGGTGACTACAGAATAAAAGTAAAGGGGCCATGGTAGACAGCGATTACCCCTAATGGTAGCAGACATTTGTTTTTTCTACTCGTAGCTTATACTAATTCCTGCTGTCAATTCATTTGGTGGCCCAAGACGTCTCTGTTTTCCTTTTCCATTCAGCGATGATTGTGTGGTGTGCGTTCTCCAAACTCTCGTAAAAAATATTAGTACCCTCAGCCAATGCACTAACACAATGAACTGAGCCCGCGAAACCAGAGAGCAAAAAGGGATATTTCGCGAGATGAAAACAATCCGAAAACATAAATAAGGTATTCCGTTCTTCTTTTTTTTTTGTATTGTACTGATGCTATGCGGAAAAGAACTCGTGAGGCTCAAAGCACGGAGAAGCCCCGAGAAGGGGCTTCTTCGTTCGTTGTGACCCCATTACCTTGGACGCGAAGACACCATTGCGAATCTCTGGATAGAAGCAGAAAGAGAGGGCCGTTTGCGGTCAGGTCGAAAAGGGGGGGTTCCTCACCTGTGAAGACGTTGGGTAGGAGTATCCGAATGGGCCGTAGGACATCTACGAGCCGGCCGTTTTCGGGAGGCTGCCGGGAGCCCGGGCTCGGACTCGCGAGCTCGGTTCTGACCGCGGTCGAGGAGGGTGCAGCGCCGCGCGGGTTTCCGTCGTCGACGTGCCGGACACGTGGCGCATCAAACCGCGATCCCCAGCAAGACCGTCGTCGGCCGTAAAAGAAAAAGAGAACCAAAGGAACAGCCGGAGGCCGGAAGAGTCAGTGCGGCGTCGGCTGCTGGGAGAGTGCGCGTAGCGTCGAACGCGGGCAACGACGCCACATGGAGATAAAACTCCGCTCACACACTAAACTAGCGGCCAAGTTGCCTTGTCGCGCGGTGTTGTTCGCCGGCAAGGGGGAGCTCGGAAGTAAGGGGGGGAAGGCAGATGGGGGGGTCTGCAGAAGAGGCGGGGCGTCGCCTCGGGCGCTCTTTGATTGACGGCGCGCGTTGGAAAACCCCGCCTCCGCCGCTCTTGACTGACGGCCGGCAAACCGCAAGCCACGCCTCGCCGAGTCGGCTCCCGCCCAGTCGTGGAGTCGACTCTATCGCGCGGTCCGCCAGACGGCGTTTCGGCGATGCACATGGGGAAGCACCATGTGCAAATGAAGCCGCGGCGAGAGGCGAGGGGGAGCACCCCCCATCCCCCCCCACCGGAGAACAGCGTGTCGAGCAAGCCGAGAGGAAAATGAAAAGTTTGGATTGGCGGTTCTTTTGGCCCCGGAGTTGTCACACAATGCGTAGACACGACATCGGGACTATGGAGATACGGCGAAGATAGGGCCAAACCCACCCCCCTCCGGTCCCGCGGCTTTCGAGCTCGTGTTGTTTTATCTCGCTCGCTGCTCGCGTTCACGCTTTGCATTAGAAATACAACAAAGGGTCTCGAACCCTCTGAGATTTTTGAACTCCTGGTTTAATTCTATCTTTGCTTCAGTTTTTTCTTTTTGGATTTTTAGGTGGTTTTGCTATTTTGTCGACTGAAAAAGGAGCTCGAGTGGAAATGTTGTGACTTTCCCCATGAGTGGTAGGGCGCAGTATGAGCTCAGTAGGCGACCGTCTTCCCAGTGGGATTGACACCTGGATGAAACATCCTTGTTGTTTGATTGCGTTTATCAGTATTTTGCATCGTTTGCGTTTACCTAGGTTTGAAAGGAACGTGCGAATATGATAGATTTTGGCAACAACACGTCTCCATATGCGTCTCTATGGATATTAGCCATACATCCTTCACCATATCCCGAAATAGGCCGTGTGAGATTAGGTTGTTTGCAGACGCAAGTGAAAACAAATGTACACGAAAAGATGTCCCATACTATTCATCATGCGCGCCATGGGCGGATTTAAGGGGGGGGGGGGGGGGAGGCCCCCTTTAATGTCCAAGGTGAACTCTTTCTTAATGAAAAATCCACATGTACCAGCTCTGTAATCTCCTGCCGATAACTGTCAGCTTTTCGTCTATTTCTCCAGCGACTGTATTTCAACATGCAGGAGCAAACAAAATGAATAATGAATGAGTGAATGAATGAAATAATGAATACATGAATAGTAGCTACAGAAAAGCCCCTCCTCGGGAGATAGGAGAACGGAAGCCCCAGCCGAACTCTGACGCAACGTTCGGTTACGTCAGCCAAGCGCTACGTCATTGTTGTTGTTGTGCCCAAGGCTTCTTTGGGCTTCCTAAGATCCCAGAAAAATCCAGATGGTTGCCCAAAGAGCTGTGCTACCAGGGTGGGGTTTAATCTGCTTCAGAGCTTCAAAGTTGATTTGCTCAAATTTAGTTTTCTTCCGTTCCTTTGTCACTGTAATGATTCAATACTCCTCGTCCCCGGGGGTTGCCCCCCCCCCCCCCCCCCCCCCCCCCCCCCTTACTTTTGCTAATCCAGAAGGGGTTCTCAAAACATTGGTATTTGAGAGGCACTGCTATAGATGATGAAATTTCCTACACAGAATTTAAGAATTGTGGGTGATCAGATAGTCATGGCTTTACCCTTTTTTCGTTTTGTAGTATTCTAGAAAGAGAATAAGAGAATACATTTTCTTGAAGCCAATCTAATTTGTTTACTTGCAGTTTCTGCTCCGGACCTAAGAGCCTGTCAGGCCTCAAGAAAAAATCACGAGCTCACTGTTGAGAAGGTATGTTGGAAACTTTGATATAGCTTTGGCCGTGTCGCATGAATCTTGAATGTTCGATTGAGGTGTATGTCATGAACACACTTCTTAGGGGACAGTGTCAGGGTTTACAAACTAGTCTTACCTCTCATTCCTTTTTGTTTCAGTGTTCTCAGCAATTTGTCACATATCACAAAGAACATCTTTAAAATGCTGTCTTCTAAAACTTTGCAATGAAGACTTTGTGAATATTAACATAACTGTCACAAGTGTAGCAACTTATGGCTGCATCTTTTTCATCTTTCCATCACAGGCACACATAGTCTTGTGCAGAGACTGAGGGGACGCTCAGCAGGTATTATGTGAATATTAACATAACTGTCGCAAGTTTACCAACTTTTGGCTACATCTTTTTCATCTTTCCATCACAGACACAAATAGTCTTGAGCAGAGACTGAGTGGACGCTGAGCAGGTATTAAGTAAATCCAATGTGTTCCCAGAACTGCTTCACACCTGGTATTCTTAGTTAAGGTTAGATTGTGTATAGCAGCAAGTCTCACCTTGACACATTTTGAGACAGAGCTGGGTAAATGTCTGCGCAATTTAATATGAGACCTGTACCTACCAAGCATCTAAATCCCTAAATATACAAAATTAAGGTGACAACGGAGGTTGAAGGCAGGTCAGAACATAAAGACAATGTGAGGAGAGCTCCACATTGTATTCATGACGTTTCATTTCTTTGAAAATGCCAAATTTTCCCTGATGCTGCAAGAAAAAATACACAAACAGACCAATGGTGTTTAAGGAAAATCGATGTCGTGCAAGTTGCTGTAGGGCTCACATTCCACTTTAAGAATGATAGGGCATGTTGGCAAACACAAATTACAAGGACCTCTACAATGCTTGAGTTTTCACAACTTAATCCAATCATTACAGCCTTGATCTGTGCAGACAAATTATGGAAGCAAGAGGAGCTTGTAAGAATTCCAAAAATAAAGCTTTTTTTTTTTGGGGTGTCAGAATGGCAGCCGAAAGATTTATAGGAAACATGCTATCTTTAACTGTGTTTCCCAGGCCCGCTTCAGACGGGGCAACTTTTCAGCAATTTGGGGGTTGCTGGCGGGTTGTTCCCTAGCTTTTCCTAGATCGACACGAATCGCAAAAATTGGGTCCGGCTCGAAACAAGCGAGCAACTCGGAGCAACTCGGAGACGTCTGAGGGGGCAGCGGACAATTAGGGACGCGGTATTTTCACGTGATACCCCGTGCCGGTGATGATGATAATTGAAGACTTGGTTCTGGCTTGAAATCGGTCGTTTTTAGAAATAACCCACATCAGAAAGATGCGTTAGTTTTCTTAAGGCCATTTTATTACATAAAAACACATTTTTAATGCGTAACTATGTGTATAAATAGTTTAAGAAAAGTAAAATTTAATAATGATGATTGCAGCAATTGGTTGCTGCGTGTGAATGCGGGCGGCCCGTGTTGCTGGTGTTCCGACGTCAAGTTGCTGGGAGAAATTGCCCCGTCTGAAGCGGGCCTTAGCGAAACGCTTGCTGTCTTAGATTCTAAAAGATTTCTTTTTTGGGCTAGTGTGTGCACGGCATCCCCAGGTAGGGGCTCACTAAAGCTAGTAACCATATTGGCAGCTGATTGTGCAGTGAAAGCTTAGCCACAGCCATTTTATAATTTCTGTGCCTACCGTTATTTGTTTACATTCATTCTTCTGGGCTCATTTAATGAATCCTGTTGGTTGCAAAACGCTTTTTTTTCCAGAAGCCATGGCAAGTATTGTTTTTCCTAACGGCAGCAGAAAACAAATCTTGTTGTATTGTCTAAAATTTGTGGAGTTTTAGACACAAAAAAAATATTACAAAAAAAGAGACTAACATAAAATACCGGAAAAGGGGGGAGGGGGGGGGGGAGAGCGCCCACTCCACTTTTACTGAAAACTGGGTTAAGTTTACGTTAAGCGCCCGATTTGGCCGGGCAGCGCCCATGTATTAACCCAGGTTTCAGTGAATGTGGGATGGGCCCTAACCCGGTATTTTCAGAAAGTCCCGATTCCATATCAATGCTGAACTAGCCGTCGATAAGATGGTGAAGTATCACTGTTTATAGTAACCCTAATAAAACTTGAAAGAGAAAAAAACTAGGTTTTGATTTGTAACATAATAGTTCCAGAATTTTAAGTTTTTAAGCTATGACATCATATTCCATTATCTGTAATCACTCGCGGGATAAGAACAGCAGAGGGGTGTTTCAGCTGTCCCAGAACCTGCACGAGCTTCCTACCTCTGATAGCACTTGAGCGTCTAGTGAGCTGCGAGGATAAAAGGGGAGTATTGCTTTTAGTCTTGCCTTTGCAAAGCTTGATGACGTAAATGGGGGATCTAAAAAACCACCCGCCTGACGACAGTCGAGCGCTGCTCATGGATTGGACACGAGAACTGCGTGAGCACTCGACTTCGCCTCGTAACAATCAATGCCTCGGCGGAGCACTCGGGTTGTGGCTCGAGTCCAACCACTGCGGTCATGAGAATAACAGAACTCAAACAATTCCGGAGCTCAGCACGAGTTTTCTACTTTGCCAACCCCAGCGCGTGGCTATGATTAATTTTGGCGGCATAGGATAGGCACCAGGCCACGTGGCCGTGTGTTCTGGATCCCAGTTGAGGGGATGGACGATGCTCATATTTCTCGAATTCTTTCGGCGACTGCCATTGCCTAGAAAGAAAACGAAAGCAAGTTCATTCAGTTATTGACATTAAGGAGTGATTCTAAGTAGTCTTTAGCGGAAGTGGAGATTAACTACGACATTTTTTTTGAAATGTTGATCGCGGCAGGGTAGAACCATTGTGCGCGCTTTTTGCCGAACACCGGTGTACTGTGGAGAAGCAACACGCGCGGAAGCTAGCTCTGCAACAATATTAATGGACTGTGTCCTCAGAATGTCCACTAGCACTGCGTACATTGGGATAGCAAGTAAGTGACGCATTTGGCGTAAAATTAAACCTGTAGGGATACTCAACTATACCTAATCGAGGGGATTTATAAATCTTAATATGCGAAAAAGTGCTTTCTCGAATTTGAAAAAAAAAAAAAGAGAATCATGAATGTTGAGCGCATGTTGCAAAGACATCTCTAAAAT